TGCGTGCTCCCGGCTTGCGTGCTCCCGGCGCGTGTGCGTCCCGGCTTGCATGCCTGCGCCCCCGCGATGTAGAGAAATTCCAGTTACACATTTTTGATTGAAGAGGCTCCTGGAACCAGGTGCCGACGTTAGATAACAGGGAAATCCAGTGACTTCTAAAGTCCTCAGATGAAGAGGTTCCCGCCTGGAGCCTGCCTGGTGCTCACCCGGTGACGTGTGCTCTCCGGACTCGGTGACGGTGGACCCTCGCTATTCCGCCGCGCGCGCTCGTGTCCGCCGCGCGCGCTCGTGTCCGCCGCGCGCGTCCGTGTCCGCCGCGCGCGTCCGTGTCCGCCGCGCGCGTCCGTGTCCGCCGCGCGCGTCCGTGTCCGCCGCGCGCGCTCGTGTCCGCCGCGCGTGTCCGTGTCCGCCGCGCGTGTCCGTGTCCGCCGCGCGCGCTCGTGGTGGGGTCTCAGGAAACGGAAAGGGCCCGGGCAGCGGGGCGTCCGCCCGCCTGGCTGCTTCCCGCGGAAAGCGGGCGCGGGGGTAGGTCGCGTTTTCCCGGCCTCGCTGTCGGTCACGAGACCCGTCCACGGAGCGGGGAGCCGGGACCCCCGGCAGGCTGCGCACACGCGTCTCCGCTGCGGGCCGGCGTGGGGACGGCGCGGCACATCCGCGGGTGGAACCGCTGCGTCGGCACGCGCAGACCGCACGAGGCCGGGACCCCGCGGCCAGGGAGGCCTGGGGGGCCGAGGGCTCCGACGGCGGCGGTAAGCGCTCGGCGCCGCCGGGCACGTGGGGAGCGTGCGGCCGCCCAGCGGCTGGAGGGTTCCGCGGACGTCGGTGTCCGCCCCCCGCACGCGGTGACGGTGGCGCAGCCGCCCCGTCGATGGCAGCGCGGACCCTCCTTGCTCCGCCCGGGCCCCGGAGCCTGCGGCCGCCCGAAGGCCTCCGTGCGCCGGCGCGCCGGCACCAGCGTCTGCCGAGGCCGTGTCACGGGGGCGCCGCGCGCTCGGCCTCGGGATTTCAGGGTGCGTGGGACCTCCCCAGGGGTCCCGCAGCTCCGGCCGCGGCCGGCCCCAGGGCCCTTTTTCCTCTAGGAGGGAATCCCGAGTTGGAAGTGATGTCAGGACGCGGATGTTCCCAGACACGGCCACCATCGCGCAGGGGACGACCAAGGCCGGGCGGGGCCCCAGCCGGAGAAGGGTTCGCACCGTCCCGGCCGCGCTGCAGAGCCGCCAGAGCCCAGGAGAGGCAGCACGGCCGTCCGGATGGAAACGTTGGGAAGACAGGAAGCGGGCCTTCTGACGGAGGGCGTTAAACGCAGGAGGGGCCCGTGCGCGGTGTGGCCACTGAGACAGGCTGCGCGGCCACAGTCCCAGACACGGCGCTGGGAGCGCAGGGCGGTGCACGCCAGCGCCCTGCTGTACGGGGCCAGCTTAACCACCTACAAACTGGCAGTGCTGAGACACAGTCAGAGGTTTTTTTTTTGGGATAGAGGCTTAGTCACCCAGGCTGGAGTGAGTGAAGTGGCGCGATCTCGGCTCACCGCAACCTCCACATCTTGGGTTCAAGTGATTCTTCTGCCTCAGCCTCCTGAGTTGCTGGGATTGTAGGCACCCACCACCATGCCGGGCTAATTTTTGTATTTTCAGTAGAGACGGGGTTTTGCCATGTTGGTCAGGCTGGTCTTGAACTTCTGACCTCAGGTGATCCACCTGCCTCCACCTCCCAAAGTGCTAGGATTCTGGGCGAGAGCCACTGCTCCCAAGCAGAGTCAGAGTTTTGACTGTAGGAGGCTAAGGCCTCAAATGGGTCAAAGTTAGCCACGTGAGTATCATTATAGCAAGGTGTACATCCCAAAATAACACCACAAATCAGGGCGGTTTCAGTGATATTGTAAGGATGGACGGTGAGGGAAGCAATGTAATGGCAGGACGTCGGAGGGGGTTTCCAGTTCAGCAGCACAGAAGGAGACGGTCGGGGTGGGAAGGAGTGAGAGGAATAGTGAAATTCCAACGGGACAGTTTGGTTGGGGACAGGGCGCGCTCACAAAGAAGGATCTACGTGGCTTGGAGTCGTGGGTTGTGGACGGCAAAGCCAGTCACGCGAGAGTTTCTCCTCTTCCAATAGCTTATGAGATGCTGAGGATGACGCTGTCAAAACAGGAGGACTGGGAAGTTTTTATATGAGGGACAAAGAGAAAAACATGGAA